CCCTCACACACACACACACACACACACACACACACACACACACACACACACACACACACACACACACTGCCCTAGGCCCCCAGAGTGAGGGGGGAATCCGTTTTTCTTTTTTTCCTTCCCTACCACTCCAGCTTCCCTCAACCCCAGCTCACCAGGACCACCAAGTCCATAGGTGCTGGAAGGCACTGTATGTAAACCAACACTCTCATCTCACAGAGAAACTGAGGCCCAAGGCGGCCTGGGACTGGTCCAAAGTCACCTGGGGAGACAGTGGCAGGGCCAGGCCTGGAAACGAGGTCTCCTGCCCATGGCCTGGGTGGTCTTGTCTTCTGCCAGCTGCTCTGAAGTAGAATCCAGTTTTGTAGAGCCGGTACTCAGAACATTCCGCCTTACCCAGCCCTTCCAAGGGAGCTCCCCGTATTCAGCCCTGCCTCTACCCGCCAAACGCCGACATAAAACCAGGGTAAGAGTTGAGCCCGGGAGGGGGAAAGGCTGACCTAGTGGGCTCCCCTAGGGCCGCTGGGAGGAAGCATAACTGACCTCGCTTCCTCATATTTCTTGTCTCGGTAAAAGTGGCTCTTTTTGATGAAGTAGATGAGTACCAAGTCGCAGAAGAAAGACCCCTGCAAAAGAGTTGGGGTCCCTGACTCAGGATCCTAGACTTCCAGAGAGCACCCGGCCACTTGACACCAACTACATCCCATTTGATCCTGCAGCAACCCCTGAGGGGGGCTGCGCTCAGAAAGAGGCATCTTTGTCCAGGGCCACAAAGCTGCTCCATGGTAGAGCCCGAGTTAGCCTGTGGTCTGTCTGACCCCTCAGGGTGAGCACCCCTCACTACCCTGATCCCATCGGATCACGCCTTCAGCCAGTGTCTGCTAAGCACTGCCCTGGGGTGCGGCCAAGAGTAAGCCAGTGAGACCCTCTGGGGACTCCCCCTCTGGTGCAGGAGGCGGGCATATAAATTATGACAGTGACAATGTCCCAGGATGGGGACAGGAGCAGGGGCAGCAGAGAGAAGATGGGACGCTACTCAGCCTGGGGAGGAACATCTGGGCTGAGTCTTGAGGCTGAATAGGATTTTATATAAGGAAAAAGGAAAAAACGCTCAGGAAGGGCAGAGGAACAGGCTCGTCATGCCTGGGAACAGGGCCAGGAACAGAATTGTGGCATTGCGGGAAGATCCCTCTAGTAGGCAGTGAGAGAGGGACTGGAGGGTATCTGAACAACAAGGACACCACAGCAGCGGTCAAGGAAAGATGAGGGCTGAGCCAACCCAGCGGACCGACCCACTGACACCTGAACACAAGCTCTTCAGACCAGAGTGGATGGCGCAAATACCAGTCTCCTCCACCAGAGGGCGACTCCACCCACTGCACAGAGAGGAGGGGGCGGGGGGGGGGGGGGTGGGAGAGGGTTGATGGAGGACCACAGGTGAAGCAAGTCCTCTGACCCTGGGCATTGCACAACCTTCCCCGCCATACTCCCCCCCCCCCCCCAGATGCTAAAAAGGTCATCAATTCCTTGTTCCACAGAGAACACTCCTCCCACCCCCCACCCAGCCTCTACCACTTTTCCCCCTTACCTTCATTTCACAAGTGTGTCCCCAGATGCCTGTGTTCTGATTTACCCCCATCATAAGAAAGTGATGTCTGAAGATGGCCCCTGTCTCGGGAAGTTACCTATGTAAACGTGCAGGGCCCCCCAACAATGTTGCTGCAGTTAAGAGGAGGCCCTTGGGGCCCACTTTCATCCACTGACCACCTCTCAGGAGCATGGCCTCTTTGAGTCCTGCTACAGGACATGGTGTTCCTGGTCTCAATAAGAAGTCAGTCCTAGGTCCTCCTGGAAGCCCCCATGGGGCTGCTGTGACCTCCTGGGCAGAGGAACCAGGGACAAGGCTGCCAGAAACCTTGGCAAGTGGCTTGCTGGTACGGGTGTGAGCCACTCTGATGACTGCCTTGTCTTTAAAAAACTTCCAGAAAAACAAAGGGGCATGAAAGATCCAGAGGAAGCCTTTCCCTGCCCTCCAGCTGTTACTTCCTCTCCGGTGGCCCCTCTGCCCAACTGAAGGGACAGACCTGGACTACAGCCCGACTTCCCTGCCTCTCATCTTTTTAGCCCCGTGATTCACAACCGGGGGGCAGTTTGGTGACGTCTGGAGACGTCTGGAGACATTATTGGCCGTCACAACTGCGGGGGAAGGTGCCGCTGGCGTCTGGTGGGTAGAGGCCGAGGATGCTGTCAGACACTCTACAATGCACACGGTCACCCCTCAAAAAAAGTGATCTGGCCCTACGTGTCAACAGGGCCGCGGCTGAGAAGCCCTGTGTATAGCCGGATCCTGCCTCTTTTTAGCAGAAGTGGAGACAAGGCTGCGCAGGATCCCAGAGAACCCGCCCCCCCTAGCTGCAGAGCCACAGGCAGAAGCCGCTCTGGCTCTGGAAAGAAACCCAGGTAGTCACGGCCACCTGGGGGCTGCTGGAGGGGTGTGAAGTCCCAGAGAGCCCTCTTCGCCCCCATCTGCACTGACCTCCCCAGTTCTGGTTCTTTCTGGAGCACTGGGACAACTCCTGTGGGGCAGTGTCCCTGCTGCCCGCCCCTGCGGGTGCTCGGAGGGTAAAGAGGGTGGGGGAGAGGTACTCACCACACCCATGAGCGCCACCCCTGAGCCCACGTTGATGACTGTGGGGATGATGTTGAACTTCCCTGCCTGGAGCACAGAAAGACAAGGTGGGGTGAGGAAGGCAGCAGGACAGTGGGATCCCCCGGGACTCCCCCAGGGCCAACCTGGCCGCCCCCCCAGCATGCCCCACCCTCCCAGGACCTGCCCAGCTTCAGAAGGGGAGCCTCACCCACACACCTTGCCGTTCACCATCACATCAAAGCGGATCCCGTAGGCTTTAAACAGCGTGCGGAGCTCCACCCCAGCTGCGTCTCGGTAATACTTGGCAAACCTGGGGGAGACACGGCTCGGGGAGCCCTCGGCCTACCTGGGTCTTCCCTGTTTGGCAACACAGGCTCCACTACCTTGGAGATTTATAACCCCCCCCCCCCCCAGGACCCTGGCATTCAGCAGGCCCAGGAAAGGTTGGAAACCCCCTTGGTGACGTGACATAAAAGGTTCGTTCAGATCTTTGAAGTTCTTGTCAGACGCTCCCCAAGAGGCAAGGGCTTTCCCACGACTACTGGGCCAACCCGGACCACCAAGGCACTGATGGGCCTGACCCAGGCCTCAGCTTCAGGGCAAGTCCAGAGCCATGGCCGATGCTTCTCTCCCAGAGGCCCCCTGGCAGCCTCCCTGCACCTCCCGCTCTGACACCCACCCCCAGGAAGGGGTGTCGTAGCGCTGGCACCCAGGCAAGGACACGAAACGTGGAGAGGGTCATAAGGTGGCAGACTTAGCCCCAGTTACCTGAAGTTGTACCCAGAAGAAAGAGAGTTTTCTGAAAATCTGTTGTCCAGACGGTTAAAATAATAGCGAGGGTAACATTCAGAGGGAGCTCTATCAAGATCACAGTCCCATTCAATCTGAATTCCTATCACACCACCCTTGAGGCAAAAGAGACAAGAATCAGTGCACAGAACTTTCTGGAGATACAAGTCACAGACCAGCTCTTCGTGGAGAGCTCAGGCAGGGGGTTGGCCCCACTGGAGCATCCTTCCGGGAGGGAAGAAGGCCCAGGGTTCACACCTCTGGAGTGACTGAGAAAAGTGCGTCGCGGACAGCCCATATCCTCCTGCTTCACGCTCCAGGGAGAAGGGAATGACCCGAGCAAGCACCTACTGCAGGACTGGCACCTCACACCACAGCCAGGGTGCCAGTGGGGCTCCTGGCTCGGTCTCAGCTGATGCCCCTGGACTCAGAGCCAGACGCAGGTGCAAGTGTGCAGCACAGCTAATTCTGAGACGGTCCCTGGGCAGGTGACTGTAGGGCCACCCCATCGCGTGGGTCCTCCTCCACACCCCCTCTTCACTGCAGAGCTCAAGCCCAGAGCCGGCCAGCCCCACCACCCACCTGCACAGCTATCTCCTGGAAGCTGCTCCCCGTCCAGCTGACCACAGACCCAAGTCGGAAGATGGGGCAGTAGGGGTCCTTGGGGCCAAATTTACAGGACTTCAGGAAAGCTCTGTCTGTGGTGTCCAGCACATTTGTCCTGGGTGGAGGCCATGAAGAGCCAGTGAAAGGAAGGTGAGACTCGCTGTTCCCAGGCCAGAAACCGGGTGTGACCCACACTGAGCCCTTGGCTAAAGCCCCTCAGATCCTGACTGCTTCCCCACCCCCAACACCCTCCAGCACGAAAGGACACAGCCCTGCCACCACTGCACGGGAAAGGGTGCCCCCTCACCACCCAGTGGGGCACTCCACACAGCGTCCCAGACACATGGGCCCACGTACTTGGAGAAGTTGAATTTGGGGAAACGAATGAAGTTCTTTATGTAAACAGTGAAGTCTTCAGCTTCGCCCAGGACTGGCTTCCTGAAAACCGAGGCAGGACAGTCTGCTCAGGAGGCCCTACCCCGCCCCCTCCATGCCTGTGCGGAGGCTGAAGCCTGTCTGCTCCCTGGGTGCCCTGGAGCCTTTGCAAAGGACAGTCAATTTGATCATGTCGGGGTGGTCCTGGGGCCTTTGTGGGGTGCCCTGGCTTCTCCCCCAGGACATGTCTCCACCATTGGGCTGGGACCCGCTGCCCAGGACTGGGTAACTCCTCAGGGTCCCGAGGTTACAGCCACTCACGCTGGCCTGGACTTTGTCTCCACCGGGCACCAGGCGAAGATCTCACAGGTGCCCTTTTGCTCGCTCCCCGCCCGCAGGCAGCGGCCAGTCCTCACTCCTGCAGGGGTGGGAGAAGGACAATGCCAGGAACCTCCTGGTTCCAACTCCCCTTCTGCCCCCAGCCCTGTCTACTCCAGGCCTCACCGTTTCCAGCCACAACAGGCTCCCCAGGAGGGCAGTCGCTGTCCTCATAGCACAAGGCATCCGGAATGCTTTCACTCTGCCAGGAGAGAAAGGGTGCCTGGCGGGGGGCAGGTGCTTGCAGGGACCCCTTCTCAGAACCAGGTCCCACCCCAGGGTGAGGCCAGGGGTTCCTCCCTTGCCTGTGGCTGCTCACCCCTTGAGAACCTGCTTCTCCCCTGAATAATGCAGGTATGCACGCTGGTGCACACATCCCCCAGGGCCCTCGGAGGGGGTTGACACCCCTGCCTCAGGAGAGGGGTGGACCCCAAGTACTGCTGGCAGCTCTCCCACCCCCTCCCCAGCTCTCTGCACCAAGACGCACCTCGGCACAGGTTTCCTGCCGCTGGTTGGGGGTCACGACCAGGTTGGTGATTACAAAGAAGACATTCTCTCCCTGAGAAACCAGAGGGAGGTTGAGGAACCCCCTCCTGCCATCTGGGGTCCCCCCTTCCCGGGGCTGCCTGGCAGGTGGTGGGATCTCTGCATGGGTGTTGCAGACACTGGGGCCACAAATCAGTGGATCCCACCCACGAGCCCACTGACCTCGGAGTCCCAGAGCACGTATGCTTAGAGGGGTCTCTTCCATGCCCACAACCCCAAACCATTCTGACCTCAGCCCCCAGGGTCCAAGCTGAGATACAGGAGGGGAGAGAGGAGAAGGGGCAGTGAAGAGGTGGCCCGGCCCCGGCACAGGGAACTGCTCCCAGGGACAGTGGCCAATATAAGGGCAGGGCTCTCGGTGCCAGGCCACCTGACTCACACTGACCTGGAAGTTCTCTGGGTCCCATTTGGTTTCAACAGGCTCAGGGTTTCATGGGAACAGAGCAGCCCCGCAAGGCACAGTTGGGGAGGGCTGGGGTTTGGCATGGGGTAAAGGACCTGGGCAGAGTCTATCTGCAAACCCTGCAGCCATCCCAGGCCAAGGGAGACAGTGAATGGAGGTCCCTGGCTCCCCCAAGCAGTTTCCCATGTCACCCACCCGGATCCAGACCCTGCCAGCCTGGGCCCTTGTGCTGGGTGGGGCTCAGACCTGGGGTGGGATGACATAGTCGGCAACATCCCAGAGCCGCTCCCCAAGCTCTGAGGTGTTGGTGAAGGTCACACCCTTGACTTTGGTGATGATGCTGCTCTGCAGGGATGTGTCCGTGTCTTGGTAACACTTCTTCACCAGGAACACCCAGCTGCAGGGAGGGGCAAGCAGGTGGGCGTCAGCCTCATTGCTGCCCTCAGGAAGTTTCCTCAGGCCCCCAGGGTGTGGAGGGGTCGGGCTTGGGGCTCCACCTTTCCCACCAGCTCCTGGGCAGGAGTCACAACTCCCTCTGCCGCCTGAAAGCCAGTCCTGCAAGCAGCAGAGGTGACAAGCAACCCCAGAAGCGAGAGGCTGCTGCTCTCAGGAGCCAAGGCCCTGCAGCTGGGCAAGCTTGGGATGAAACCAGCTCGACCCACACTTGCCATGTGACCCCGGGTGAGCCAATGAACTCTGGGGGTCAACACAGGGCTAAGTGCACCTCCTTCCAGAGGGGTGAGGATGGTTAAAGGACACGGTGCACAACCTGGAACTTATCATGAGGAGACCTCAGACAGACCCAAACCGAGGGGGATTCTACAAAATTAGAGTGCAAAATCCTGTACTCTTTGACACCCAAAACACAAGCAACAAAAGAAGAAATAGGTAAGTTGGACTTGATCCAAATTAAGAACTTTTTTGTGCATCAAAGGGTGGCGCAGTGGTTGAGAATCTGCCTGCCAATGCAGGGGACACGGGTTCGAGCCCTGGTCTGGGAGGATCCCACATGCCACGGAGCAACTAGGCCCGTGAGCCACAACTACTGAGCCTGCGCGTCTGGAGCCTGTGCTCCGCAACGAGAGGCTGCGACTGTGAGAGGTCCGCGCACGGCGATGAAGAGTGGCCCCCGCTTGCCACAACTAGAGAATGCCCTCGCACAGAAACGAAGGCCCAACATAGCAAAACTAAATTAATAAACTCCTACCCCCAACAACAACAACAAAAACAGTACATGTGAATTCCAGAGTTTACTTATGAGGAGGTTCTATTGGCAAACTTCCAAAAGTCACCAAGAATAAAATTAAAAAAAAAAAAAGACACTATCAACAAAGTGAAAAGACAACCCAGAGAATGGGAGAAGATATTTGTGAGTCACATAACTGATAAGGGTCTAGTACCCAGAATATACAAAGAAGTCTTACAACTCAACAATAAAAAAGACAAGTAATCCAATTTAAATATGGGCTAAGGATTTGAATAGATATTTCTCCAAGAAAGACATACAAATGGCCAATAAGCCCGTGAAAAGCTGCTCAACATCTTTAGTCAGGAAATGCAAATCAAAAAACACAGTGAGATAGTACTTCACACCCAATAAGACAGCTGTAATCCAAAAAATGGGAAATAACAAGTGTTGGTGAGGATGCAGAAAAATTGGTACTTGCTGGTGGGAATGTAAAAAGGTGTAGGTGCTGTGGAAAGCAGTTGGGTAGTTGCTCACAAGGTTACTATATGACCCAGCAATTCCACTCCTCAGTATATAACCAAGATAATTGAAATCATATATCCACACAAAAACTTACACATGAATGTTCTTAGCAGCATTATTCCTAATAGCCAAAAAGTAGAAACAATCCAAATGTCCAACAGATGAATGCATAAGCAAAATGTGGTGTATCCATACAAGGAGGTATTATTCAGCAATTAAAGGAATAATTTACTGACACAGGCTACAGTATGTATAAATCTTGAAAACATTATGCTAAGTGAAAGAAGCCAGACAAAAAAAGGCCACATGTTGTAATGATTTGATTTACATGAAATGTCCAGAATGGGCTATAGAGACAAAAAGTAGATTAGTGGTTACCAAGGGAGGGATGGTGGTAGGGGAGAATTGCAAATGACTGTTAATAGACACAGGTTTCTGTTGGGGGTGATGGAAACGTCCTGGAATTAGATAGTGGTGATGGTTGTACAACATTGTGAATGTACTAAAACCCACTGAATTGTGTAATTTAACATGGTTAGTTAAAATGATGAACTACATGCTATGTGAGTTTTACCTCAATTTAAAAATGGTTTTTAAAAGGTCCTGCACTCTCCAAAAAATGTCAGTGTCATAAGATACAAAGACAGACTCAGGAGTGATTCCAGATTAAAGAAGACATGACAACTGAACACAAGGCATGATTTCGGATTTTCTTTTCCTATAAAGGTAATTTTGGGGACAATTTACAAAAGGTCTATTGCTTAGATGATAATATTTTTATGTTAATTCCCAAATTTTCATTCTTTTACTTCATTAAATAAGAGATTCCTTGTTTTTAAGAAATACCCATGGAAGAATTTAGGAATCAAGAGACATCATGCCTGCAACCTACTCAACAGAAAAAAATTGCACATGTATACACACACATAGAAAGAGAAAGGGATAAGGAAAACACAAATGTAGTAAAATGTTAACATTTGAGGAATCTAGGTGAAGGGCATTAAAAAATTGTACTACTGTTAAAACTTCTCTGTGAGTATAAATTACATCAAAATATTAAAAAAAATTTTTTTTAATGAGATGGCACACGTTAATTGCTTAGCACACCGAGTGCCAGGCACAGAGGAGGAGCTCAATGAATATAACACATCAACTTATTACTGAGGTTACTGTTAATTAGAGATTGTCCAGGTCAACCCCCCTTGGTAAAGTTGGGAAAACTGCAGCCAGAAGAGGGCAGGAAGCCGCCTTCCTGAGGTCCTGCAGCAGTGCTGTGGGATGCCCTGCCTCTCCCAGGCAGCAACCAGGATGCTTCCACCCTCATCTCTGGGGGCAGACCTGGCATGTCCTGGGGCCCTAGGCTGTCCCATCTCCAAGGACCTCTGAGAGGGTTGTGACCCTTGAGCCAACCAGCCATTTTAGTAGGGACACACTGGGCCTGGACAGAAACATTCAGCAAATACTCAAGGAACAACAACCCTTCATTCACTCATTCGTTTCACACCTGTCCCCTAAGCAGTTAGGGGATACCAGGCAGGCCCCGCCCTCATGGCATCCCCAGGCTGACAAGGGCAGTCAGCACGAACGTTAAGCAAATGATCCCCTGAATACGCACGTAATTACATTGTGGGAATTCTGGGGAGGAGCATGCGAGAACCCAGGTGTGAAGGATGAGTGGGCGCTAACGACGTAGGGGAGGAAAGGGAAGCCTGGCTGAGGAGCAGTAAGACAGAAGGCCCTCAGGTGGGGGGCAGCCAGGTGTCTTAGGGATGAAGCTCAGGGATGAAGCCCGGCCTCCGGGTGGGAGTGAGGTGAGGTCAGGGCTGCCCTCCCTGGAGGAGCCTCTACTGCTCCCCAAGTCAGGAAGTAGGAGGGACTCAACAGCATTAAACTGAAGGAATAAAAGAGGCACATCCGCATCCCAGCTGTCTGGTGTCATTTCCTCTCCACCTGTCCGCTCCCTGCTTGGGGGTGAGGCCTCTGAACAGTGCCTGGCTGACCCCAAGGAGCTGCCCCTCAGCTGATGGTGCCAGCTCCTGCAGGGCGGGGGAGGGGGGCAGACAGGAGAGCTGGGTGCCAGGGAGCGTAGAGGGTTTCGGGGCAGGACCCCCAGAGAGGCCAGCCGCGGGTGGGGCGAGCCAGCCAGAAGGGAGTTCTGGGACATGCCAGGCTCCTGAGTTGCCCCTGCCGGGAGACTGGCACTGAGCTCAGTGACTATAAATAAACCACCGGGGGCCGGCCTGGGCCAGCCCGGGCTAGGGCCCAGGGGGGCTGCCATGACAGCTGCAGCCCAAGCCCCCGCAGCCTCGCCCCCTTCCCAAAGCCCTAGCACTGGCGGCCCCAGCCCTGGAGAAAGGAACTGCCCACGGAAAGCCTCACAAATGGGGGGGCCCCAGGAACCCCGGCGCATCTCATCACCTCAAGAGCCGCTGGGGAGTTGAGGGCTCCCTCCTTACCCCCCACCCTTAAGCCCAACGGTACAAGAAGGGCCGCCTTCCCAAGCAGGGTCCCAGAGCCCAGTCACAGGGCACCCCCGGCGCCCCCAGGCCAATTCCCAGCCCCCGGAGGCCACAGCTGCGGCCCCGGCCGGCCCTTCCCCCTCCCCGAGCCCCGAGCCCCGGAGAACTCACACCACCAGGTAGGTCAGGATGGAGACCTGCAGCAGCCGGTAGAGCAGGCCCACCTTCTTATTCTTGGCGATGACGTACTTCTCGGTCTTGTAGTCGAAGAGCGACTGGTAGAGCCCCTTGCAGCCCGCCTGCCCCATGGCACCGGCTCACCTGGCCCGCGATCGCGTCGCCACACGTGTACCGCATGGAGCCGCCCCCGCCGCCGCCCGGCCTCCAGTGTGGGCACCGCTGCGCCCGGGTGCGCGGCTCACCGGGCGGGGTCCGGCGGTTGGCGAGGCCGCGGCAGCGCCGCCCGAGGCCAGGCGGGGGCCTCAGACTGCGACCTTGCCTCCTCCCCTGACTGTGACAGTGACGCCGCCGGGCCGCCGCCCGGCCACTGGCCTGCGAGGGCCCTCCCGGCGATCGCCACCGCCCGGGAGGGGTGCGGTGAGAAGAGGGTCTCCTTTGGAAGCAACGCCCCTTCTCCGCCCCCAAAGAAATCCAGAGGTTACTCCTATTGAATGGCCGGGGAAACTGAGGCCAGGGGAGGGGGACCTACAACACAGGAAGTGGAGGCGAAGACGGATAAAGAGCAGATACAAACAGGTTTGACTGCTTCTGTCTGTCTGACAGACAGATACAAACAGGTTTCTTGATTTTTCGTGCTCCCTGGGGCAACCCTCGCCCTCCCCTCACAGGATGGGGGCTGGGATGAAGTGCGCGTTCCTACTGCAGCAGCTGCGGCCGGCCCGTTTAAACCCCACACTCCGGGGGAGTAAGTTGCCAGGCACGCCCCAGTGGCCAGAGCACGGAGAACTCTGTAGGGCAGGGAGGATGGGTGGGGTGGGGATGGGGAGACAGGCAGCCGAGGCCTGGGATCTTAAAGATGCCTGGAGAGAGCGCGGGGACCAGCTGTGGAAATGCTCCCAAAGCAAGAGATGGACCTCACCTAAGCTGCTGAATCTGCAACCCCTCACGGACGGTGGAATTAAATTAGAGGCAGTGGGAACACAGATGAGGACACCTCTGAGAAGATGAGGTTCAGAACGTGGGACAGCCATCGAGAGGCGGGGTCCTGGGTGAGCTCAGTGTGCGTGTGCACGTGTGTGCTGGGCTGTGCACGCTTGTTTTCCGCATTTCACTCGCTGCCATCCTGCAGTCTGACCGGACGTGGTCCTGCTCCTCTCCCTAGCCTGGCTCTCACACAGGAATAAGTTCCCTTCCCTGAACCACAGGCTCTGGGAGCTGGGAGTTGGAAGGGACCCTAAAGTTCACCAGGTGTGACCTCCTCTCAAAGTAAAAGCCCCAGGGCAGCACGCCTCCAGTTTTAGTGAGCATGGGTATCATTTGGAAGAAAAATGCAAATTCCTGGGCCCTGCCCCAAATATTTTCATTCCCTTAAGGCTAGGATGGGACCAGCATCTCAAGCTGCCATTTCGGAAGCACAGATTTTTGCAACTGTTCATCAATTTTAATTCAAATGCTATTTCCTTAAAAAAAAAAAAAAAATCCTGTTCTTACTACCACCCACCAAAAGCGCCTCCACCCCAAACACTTTCTATCCCATTACCCCTTCTTATTCCCTTAGAGCCCCTGTCACTCTTGAATATGATCTTATTTACTTATTGTCTGTGTCCCCCACTAAGACCGTAAGCTCCAGGAGGGCGGGGACCTTGCCTTTGGACATCTCTGCATCCCATGCCCACCGCTATGACTGCTACATAATATGTCAGTACATATTTGTTGAGTGAAACTCAGGCCTGACGTTTTAAACAGGGAGATTTCCGCTGCCGCCCTGTTCCAGTCATGGCTGGGGATTTTGGAAGCTGACATCATCCTGGGGGAAAGGCTTAGGAATTGTCACCAGGCCTCCCTTCCTCACTCTCCTGCCAGCCTCTTCCTCAGCCCTCCCCTCACACGGCTCTCCAGCACTCAGAGGAGATGCAGCCTCAATGGAGTGACACCACGCCTTATGAGGAGGCCCACCAACCTGCTCTTGTTTGCCCTCCAGTGTGGGCAGCCCGTCCTGAACCCCCCACGGCCCAGCCAAGACCAGGCTGCAGTTTCTGACAGAACTATCCAGGTGCTTTACAGACCACGAGGGACATCCAAAGGGGAAAGCACTGCTCTCAGGGCCAGGGCCAGACCCCTCCTTGTGGGCTCCCTCACAGCTTCTCAGGCTAGATCCAGACCCATCAGTGGGTCAGGACATCAGTTTACTGGGTTCCAACCAGCATATTCACAAAAAGAAAATATCAGGGTGTGTTTAAGGAAGTAAGTGTAGACAGTTTGGTGAAATGTTTGTTTGAAGTATGTGTGTGCCTATAATGACGTGCAATGTATTTCTTCTTGTGGGTCATGGTCAAAACAATGTGAAAAATACTTCCCTGGAGCTGCAAACCTAAGTATCTGCAATCTACCTCCGTATCACTGGGGCCGGCTCACCTCCCCAAGTTCAGGTCTAACTCCCATTATACCCAAAGTGGGAGAAGGGGTCTTTGCTTTTTTATTGGCCGCACATGCAGAAGTTCCCATTACCAGGGATCAAACCTGCACCCACTGCAGTGGAAGTGCCAAGTCTTAACCACTGGACCGCCAGGGAAGTACCAGAGTCTTTGCTTTTTACGTTTGCATTATTAGAAGTTCAAGTCAGGGATGTTTCCAAATCCAAGATGAATTCTCCACTTGAATGAAAACTGCCTGCTGTCTCTGAGTGGTTTTTCCAGTCTCTACCTAAACCCGTCTCAACAGGCACCCTGTTCAAATGATCTTCGCCACCACTACTGTGCGAATGCTTATCAGCTTAGCAAGTAGTAAGTCAGGGGTCAGGGGTGAATGGCTAGTTCTCAAAGTAGTCAAAGCCCCCTTCCCTCTCCTCCCCCAAAGGCGTCCACATCACGCTTCATTATAATGACTGTGGTCCACCTTAAAGAAAGGGGCTGGCAGTGAAGGGACTGACCAATCTCATCTGGTTCATAAGTCTGTCTCGTTGGATGATTTAAGGTAGCTGCAGTCAAGTGATGGGAAATTATTAAATGAACTCAAAAACTATTCTCCAAAAAATTAAAAGGAAGCAAAAGAGAAATAAAATACAAATCTCATAAAATAACGTCCTTGGAGGAGAGGTTCAGAGGTTACTTACACCTAACAAACGAGGTTCAATTTCCCACCCCAGAGGAGAGGAGGGATCAAACGAGGCCTGAGATAGGAAATCTGAATCTGTCCTAGGGCACAAAAGGAAGTCATCACAAGGCAAGGAGAGCCCTCCTTCAGAGCCCGAAATATCCTGGATGACCTAGAAGGGACAAGAATAGGAGAGGCGTGGCACGGAAAGGGTTTCATGAAGCAATTCATCCTTTAATTTTTCTTTTGCTCTGAGGAGTCCTGCTTTGATAAACACATTCCATTAACAGACATTACTGGTCCATTTAAGAAATAGTATTTCTCAGGGTATATGCCCAGTAGTGGGATTGCTGGGTCATATGGTAGTTCTATTTTTAGTTTTTTAAGGAAACTCCATACTGTTCTCCATAGTGGCTGTATCAATTTACATTCCCACCAACAGTGCAAGAGGCTTCCCTTTTCATCACACCCTCTCCAGCATTTACTGTTTCTAGATTTTTTGATAATGGCCATTCTGACTGGCATGAGGTGATACCTCATTGTAGTTTTGATCTGCATTTCTCTAATAATTAGCAATGGTGAGCAGAGTGAAGTAAGTCAGAAAGAGAAAAACAAACACCATATGCTAACGCATATATATGGAATCTAAAAAAAAAAAAATGGTACTGACAAACCTAGCTGCAGCGCAGGAATAAAGAGGTAGACATAAAAAATGGACTTGAGGACTTGGAGTGGGAGGGCGAAGCTGGGCTAACGTGAGAGTAGCATTGACATATATACACTAACAAATGTCAAATAGTTGGCTGGTGGGAAGCAGCCGCAGAGCACAGGGAGATCAGCTTGGCGCTCTGTGATGACCTAGAGGGGTGGGACAGGGAGGGTGGGAGGGAGGCTCAAGAGGGAGGGGATGTGGGGACACGTGTATGCACATGGCTGATTCGCTTTGTTGTGCAACATCAACTAACACAGTATTGTGAAGCAATTATACTCCAATAAAGATTAAAAAATTTTTTAAAAAAGAAATAGCAGATACTAATGTTGCTTCAAAGAGTCAACAGGAAGAAGGAAGCCTGTCTCTGCAGGAAGCATTTCTGAGTCCTGTCTTAAGTGATGCGTTCTTACTCATTACTCAGTTCTCAGAATGTGACCTGGGGAAAAACTCCACTGAGGTGTCACTTTAAAAGACTAAACCGTCAAATGCTGGCTCACTGGGCACTGAAAAGGATAAAGATTCAAACTCAAACCAACCAAACCCACACAGCGGCGCCAGCACGAACATGGCACACGGTAGAGAAAGATGGTCCTACTCGTGCTCCCTGCGGGGTTTTCCCCACCTTCATGAAACAGCCCTCGTCCATCCCACCTCTGTCTCCTCGAGTTCACAGGACTGTAGTGATGAACCGCGAGCAAGCGGGACATCCTCGTGTGAAACCCGAGAGTGGGTGTGGCGTCCACAGCTCCTGCGCTCAGTCCTCCCACAGATTCTTCCTCTTTGTTGCAGTCTCTATCCCCACCTGCCTTTCTGGCCTCACGAGCCCTTTACGCACACCAGCTTCAGGGGAACTGACTGACAGCTTTATCACATCCCGCGCTTTCCAATCCCTGTGCCTCTGCTCAGGCGGGTCTCTCCTCAGTACTTCATGGCTTCAAGGCTCAGCCTTTACAGGGCTTTGTCTCCTTCACAAAGGCCTCCTGGATCCCTCTCCTCCTCTAAATTCCCAAAGGACAGGATCCGATCTGTATGTTTCAGGGAGTTACAGCTGAGTGCACACCTTATCTGTCCTATAGGGCGATGAGGGCAGAAAAGGCGTTACCACTCTGCTCCACTGGGTCTATAATGAGATAAGTGGTCATCCAGAAGAGAAGGGGGGATGGGGGGAGGGAGGGAAGGAGCAAGGGGGGAAGGTTGATTCCTGATCATCCTGCCTCTGCCCATTAGCCTGCATATTTGAAGTGTCAAGAGTAGAGTGACTAAGCCTTTATTTTTGAGTGTGTATTTCTAGAAGATTTCAACAGAGAGAACTCTACTAGAGCGTTATGTTACATTTGTCTCCTGAAGCAACTTGTTAGTCATCAAGACTCCAAGTCTGTGCTGAGCGCTACCCACTGACAAAGTGTAATCAGATGAACAAACCCTGATCTCATTAACTAGTATCTCACAGGGTGTGGGTCTTGACATCAAAGCTCACCCAGAGTGCTTGCCCCAAAAGCCAATTCCCAAGCCCAAGCCGGACTAGAGCATCAGGACCCTTAGTGGGTAGAGCCCAGGAACCTGATGAGCTGAGCTCCACCTGTGCCTCTTCCCCAGCAACACCTGTAAACCTCCACTGCCCCCTAGCTGCCGCTGCCCTACACCCTGCCCGCCTGTAATGAAGCCTCTGTGGAAAAACATTAGACCTGAAGATTCCTCATTAAACTAGCTGATGGCCTCGGGCAAGTTGTTTCCTCCTCCACAGAACAGCTAAT